ATAACAATATATTAGAACCAGCACTATGCAGCAACGCAGTCAAGGATCGTCAATGTCCTTCTGCTCTCCTTGACATGCATCCTTGCGCATTTATATCGCTCAGGACTGAATCATCCACGCAATACATGACCATCGAACCATGAACACTACACAAATTTTATCAAAGGAAGAAAATTTGTCTCCCAATTCAAATATTTGGAATCTTTTTGTAAAATCTGGGCTTTTTCTCTTTCGAAGCATTTATTTAAAATCTTGAAAATGTATCTCACGAAAATGTATGTGGCGTATTTACCCGTTGACCAAAATACTTGATACGCAGCGTGTAGCGGTCGTGGATGACATCGAATACACAATCAAAATATTTGCAACAATAGGGACGAGAAAACTACGCACGCCAAAGTATTTTATGCGGTTCCCTGCACAAAATTATCTGCTGGGAATTGGGATAAAGTAGTGAAAATTTCTTACATCTTCAATTATCTTTGAACGTTAGTTAGGTTAGTAGTTAGGATATCTAAACTATAATTGTGTAAATAATGTAGCTTATCGGCAATGTATGAAATAATTATCCAGGTTCAGAATATTCTCTAATATGATCTGTCCTCTAGTTTCCCTCTCAATAGTCCAAGTCTTTACGCTGTTTTATGTCATTTATTTACCAAATCGAACAGTGAACGATCCAAAACAACCAAACACTCCAAAGCAACGAAAAGCATAAAATAAAAATAACAGATACCAGGCAGTAAAAAGGCAAGAAAGACCATATACACCATAAAAACACTGACAAACCCTGAAATCGAAGAGACTTTCAATAGAAACTAAATGACCCCTAGAATCCAGTACAATAAACTAGCTACTATCATTTGCAGAACAGGCCGAAAATAACTTATGACAGGCATTTTTAAAAGACGACGAACAATTCTATAGGTGCACAACATTTGAATAGTACTGATAAAAGCTAATTTCATGATAAAACTGAAAATACCACACTACGGTAAATGAACTGTAATGGCCCTGTACTCAAACAATAACATGGTCCCTACGTCAGCCCACTGTCCAGCACAAACCATCCAACAGTCACACAACCACAGACAAACCTCCCCGAAGACCAGAGGCACTCACACATACACAAAACAACCACCAATCCAACCGAAACACCCAGACGACCGCCCCTCGTCAACCCACGGTGCAGACCATGCCGCAAAAACAAAAGAAGGCCGACAGTGTCACAGCGCCCCCCAGTGTCCCTACTGATAGAATACCAAATATTGAAACGATATCACATGACGTCATTTAACAGGCAAAACAATAGTCGTCACAATAATAATATTACTATTTTTCATCCCCGGTTCAATAATATCAGCCAATATTGAATTCGACATTATCATAGTATATGGAAGAAGAAACTGCGCGCCCTCTGTGAATGGATAAAACAGCCAAGGAATTTAATCTATCTTGCTTCATTGTGTTTCTGAGATACGTTTTAATACGCTTCAGCGTGCTGAATGTTCGCTCTGCGTCGGCGGAAGAAATAGGCGTCGTCAAAATGATGTCCAGAAATTTTGCAGACGCCGCAAAGGTAGTTACTAGAGTGTTATCTATGAGGAACCCATAAAGCGCGCGAGTTGATGTGATGTTCAAAAAAGCTTGATTGGTGTATATACATCGCAATTCATTTTCCAATTTACCCACGTTTATCATGGGGTAAAATTTGGAGACAGTAGCCAACAAATGGATGGGAAATTGACGTGCAAATTTTGAAAAATTTTTGGGGTTCATCAAAGAGAACGCGGCAAGGTGTTCAGTGCGCAGACGATCGCCTATTTGATTCACCAGAATGTCACAGCATTCCTTTGCAGACAAAATCAAACGCTGCGTTGTTTGCCCGCGGCGTAAAGAAGCACTCCATGTGTCGTCGTATTTTATTGTTTCCCGGATACGAGATACAGCATCGAAGAAGTCTGAAATACACGACTGCACAGACGCTCCATCCATTAGCCTTGACTGCAATGCGCCGTATAATACATCCACGTGATAGAATATTGTGGAGAAAAAAGCGAGAAAAAATGAAAACTCACCATCTTCTAGCAGACGCTTTAGACCTGCCGCCTCCCTCACAGAGCGTTCGTCCCAAACCGGAGAGCTCTGAATGCCATTGAAACACTCAATGAGCTCAGACCTAATTTCGGACACGCCCTGCACCACGCGTGATTGGAAGTTCCAACGTGTTGGTGCACAAGCTGGGGGACGGCGGCTACATATCTGGCGAAGGAGGTCAGAGCGCTTCGGCGAAACGGGAAAAAATGAAGAAAACCCCGAAACATCTGCAAAAAATATACGGACGAGAGGGGTATCAAGACACATATTTTTAATAACGAGGTTAAATTGGTGTGCATAACAATGTAAAAAATGCGCATGAGGAAAATCTTCTTTTATATAAACTTGAACACCATGTTTCGACCCACTCATGACTGCCGCGCCGTCATAAGTTTAAGCTATCAATTTTGACTTCGCGTTGTAAGGCTGTAACACTTCTTTCAGTACAGCCGATATCCCGCAAGCCGTGCGATCAACGATTGGTACAAAGCTGTGAAATCTCTCGGTAGGTTTACCATCTTTCACAAACCGAAAAATCACAGCCAGTTGGGAAACGCACGTGATGTCAGTTATCTCGTCAGACTGAATCGAAAGGAACTGGCAATTCTCAATTTCCAGAGCCAAATGTTGTAAATAAATTTTATACATTGAGACGAGCAAATCATTTTGGATATCCTTAGATGTCCCTTTCGAAACAGTAGCGGCATCAAGATGATCTCTCAATACTGTATCTAGGGATGCGGTGTATTCCACCATATCCAAAAATACCCCTCTATTAGAAGAGCCAGCCCGTTCATCTTGCCCACGGAGGGACAGCTCGTGACAACCAATGAACTTCAAAACATCTATCAATCGACCGAGAACATGGCGGTTTTTCTCGACGTTTTGGTTGTGCCGACGAATAGAAACCGCGCGTCCTTCATCCAACTGTGCTGCAATATTAACATTTCCGAATGTTCGGTATTTTACTGCATTGTCCAGATGCTCCATAGAAGATTGATGATCCCTGGCACGCTTGGAAAGATGTTTAAGATCTCTAAAACCAAATTTACACCAACGTGGGTCACGGGCGGAAGCAAAAAGTAGGCAATAAAAACAAAAAAAGTGCATTTTTGTCCTAGCTGTAACACAACCATTCGTGTTTTTTATACCAAGTTTCTGCGCAGAATGTACGCCGACGCTTTCCTCCGTCATGAGATTGTTCCAGTGAACAATTTTTTGGTTGATAAGGCCCAAGACGTTGTACCTCTAATTTTTGTTCCAGCGGCAGCTGCGAAAACGGAGTGCGAAGTAGTGCATCAACCTTATTCATTATGAGGTCTAAGGCTAAGGAATGCGAAGCCGGAAAGAAGTGAGGAGCTCGAAAGGAATGTGGAAAATCGAAAGCAAATGGACTGAAGGTCTCTAACTGATTCAAATAGCGAAACAAGCGACAAAAAACGAAGGCGAGGAAACTATCAACTCTTCAAGCAACCAATGAACGAGAAGGAATGCGTGAATATGTCAACACGTTGTTGTAAGAAACGTCGGCATTGTGTCGTCATAATTTCGGGGCTAGCCCCGATGATTTAGTAAAAGGAACAGAAAACAAACGAGACAAACGCGGCGAGTGGAAGATAAAAGAGAGAATACGATATACAATGAGCAACCGGGGCAAAATCGCGAAGGCTTTGCGAGCGAAAAATGAACCATGTCGGGAGAATATGGCTAGTGTAGACAGTCTGTGCAACCGATATTGAGGTAATTTTCGAAATTTTTTTATTATACCCAAAAAACAACCCCGGTTGGCCCTTATTGACGCGCCGCCACTGGGTTCAAATATCCGTAAAAAATAAAATTTCCACATAGTATGCAGGTACAATTGTCGTGGGTTCAAATGTAATGGAACCCTTAAATATACAGCCCATAAGAAACTAAAAAAACGTTCCGTAAATTGCTGGTAGACATCTCGTGCGAGGTTGTACACTTCCTTGTTATTGCGCCCCACTAATTTTCTTTGATTCAGTATATCTTTGGTCAGGCAGGTTAAAACTAACAACAAGAGTTAGATAATATTTGACAAATAAACATATGTGAGCATTGCGGGTTAGAGTAAAATGCAACACTGCCAATTCAGAGATAAAAATAAATAGAAAACCTACGACTTACCCAATTGCAAGGACTGCACCGATGATAGGTGTTGCACACTGCGGTCCTGCTGAAACTTTTTGTGCAACAGAATAATCTAATTCTACGCATTGTGCGGAGTTACATTACAGCCATATTCCTTGTTTAAACGTCATCACAACGCCCAGTAGTCGGAAACCATGGTATATACCCAACAAGTATCGCCATTAGCCCTTTTCTGTTGACTGTTATCAGAACAAGGACCAACACGGCAACACGCTTCGCCGAACAATGATTTTGATGTCATAATCGCGACATTCAAGGTTGCCACGTTTATCAACCAAAATTTTTAATTCCAGAATGCGAATTTTGTGTCTATTGTTCATCAAGCCAGGGGATATCAGAGTGTAGTAGTACAGGTCACAAAAAGTTACCGAGATATCGTATCGTACTCTGTTTATATGCGGTCCTATCTTACAGTTCATCTTCTTATGCTTTTTTCGAAGCTAGTTGAGGTTGGGTGTTGTAAAAAAGGCATTTTTCATGTATATCAACTATTTCGTAGATTTTTATACTCCCAACAATCTTGAAAACCAACCAGCACCCGCTAGCTTTTACGGTTATAAATTTAGAGACCCCGTTTGAAAATTATCGACTACGTCCCTGGTTTATTTATAGTTTAACATTTTTTTTACTGGAATGAGGGTCGCGTTTTCAACTTTTTTCTGAAAAGAACTTAATTTCTTTTCAGAGGGTGATCAAGGATTTCCCGTCACATTCATAAGAAACACAGAAAGCAATATTGAACGCTCATTTCTTTTTAAAAACACAGTGTACAAATAAAAACAATTTCGGATAAAGACAGAAAGTCTGGCAGTGTCAGAGTTCCATAGCATGCATTAAAAAATGTCACAGTAAGGGACAAATCCAGCACAAGGACTGGAAAAGATCTCAGCACACCGATGGTGGTAAAATGAAATTAACCTAATTGAAATAAAGCCAAACAAAAACAATTTGAAAACCTCGCAATAAATCATAAGTGGATTTAAAGGAAGAATACTTTAATCCAAAAACAAAACCCAAAACTTTGCGTTAGCTCTAGTTTTAGTGGAAAACTTCGAAAGAATCCACCTGCTTTTCACCAGGAAAGATAACAGTATGCGGTAATTCACACTTTGATTAAAGCCTCAAAAGATATATTGAGTAGGGAATGGCTTTCAGTGGTAGCGGTGAAAGGCAAAGTCAGAATTCCGGGCCACAGTGCCATTTTGGTAATATCGCTTCAAGGCGGTTCCATCAGGTACCAATCAATTGGGTCAATTTAACGACCAACACAGCCATAGGCAGTGGCTCATTCAGATCTTTGAGTTGAGTGAGTAGAAATATGGAGATACCAACAAGTAAATGAAGTCTTGTACTCATCGTCTATAAACTGTCTGGTATTGCTTCCCCACCAGATTCAGAATCATTATCTGGGCTGAGATTAGAATTAGTTTTAACCGAACACTCAGCATCAGATTCATAGTTTTGATCTAATTCCTTCGGTATATCCAATGTTTCACTAGATGCTTGTTGAGACTTTGGTGGCAGTCTTTGATCAATGTCCTTATTGTCATCAAAGTTCTGCCCAGGGTTTGAAACTGAAGGGTCTAATTCCTTTGGCATATCAACCTTTTCATCCAATGCTTGCTGTGATTCTGGCAACCCTTCTGATTCGATGTCCTTGTTTTCATCTAAGTTCAGTTCTGGGTCTAGAATTGGAGGGTCATTTTCATCGCTTGGCTCTGATTTTTCATTCTAAGAAGGAAATATATATATATTTACATTTCCTTACTGTCAGTTATTTTTATGAGTGTTTCAACATATTCACCAGGGGCATAGCCAAGAATTTTAAAAGAGGAGTTTCATAATTCATAATTGCCAAGTTAGATCATATCTAGCCGCTAACAGAACCTAATTAGCTTTTGTCACATTTTTGTAACGGTTTAGTTCTGACAGCCGAACCTGAAAATGGACATAAGAGCTAAAGTCAAACCTAGGACAGGTAAAGCTTTGAAAAACAGACCAAAAGATATAGCTTTGAAACCAGTACAAATAGATGGCCCCTCGTCAACAATGACAGAATATCAGGAAGAGCTCATTTCTAAACTGCAAAACCTGACATAAAATATTTTGGTTTTACTATGGTGACAATATTTTGGTTTTACTATGGTGACATGTATCAAATGGAAAAATTCAGAAAGATTAGCACCCACTTCTTTGTCAGCATCATCAATTTGTGTAGGATATGAAACTGAAATATCTTTTTCAGTCTCATCGTCTGAGCTTTCGTCCTAAAATAAAATTATAAACTTCATTGTGAAAAAGTTTTGGTAATCACTAAAAATGTGATAGCTTATGTTGAATGAGGCCTGGGGTGAATTACAAAGACTTGAGAGTACAAAGACACAATCTGTGACTCGACTACAGAGTAGGATACCATAACTTTTGACACGACTCAGGACCCTGAGTTGAATGACACTCGACATTCGACTCTCAAGTTGGGAGTGCAATAAATCAACTTTTGACTTGACTCGAAGAGTAGAATAACATAACTTGGGAATTGCAAGTTGCGACGCAGTACGACTCTACTTGATCGAGAGCACAGTCACTCGACTTGTGAGAGCAATGGATCGACTTGGGATCTGTGACATGGCACTCTGGAGTATGTCCCAAAATGTGCGCCAGGTTGTCAAGTACGCCGCGATAATTAACAGAATTGTGCTACACATAACTAAAATATAATTGAATACCTTACATATTGTATTTGCTATAAATGTTTTATTGTTTCTTATTTTAAATGCTGTGTACATAAAGCAATAAATTTATTTTAGCCTTCTATGTCGTTTACTTTCTGTTACGCAGCGGTTACCTCTATTGTTACATGCAATTGCATGAGCTGCAGTTTATTCATCTGCTGAATCGAGTTTAGTAAACATGTGTGATTTTTTTAGCATTTCAAAGAGAAATGAGGAAGAAAAGTTGACTTTTTGCATTTATTTCTTAAGCTACATGTTCAAAAACTTCAAAAGTACACATTAACGATCACAAAATCGAGTTTTATTTAAAAGCAGAATTCATTCTGTGAGTTTTTCCCCTTGATAATTTGGTGCCACATGAACAAAAAGTTTGGAAACCACTGCCCTGCATTAGTTCATTTATGAAATTCTTCAGACACACCTATTAGTTACACCATACAATATTACCGGAGATTTCTGGAAAACTATCTCAATCTTCTAAAACGCCACAAATGAAGCAAGGATGCTAACATTTACCCAATGCCCTCATTTTACATCAGTCCAAATTACACTGAAATTATCATTCCAAAACAAGAATGGAAGGCAAGAAACAAATATAGAACGAGTTATACCTCACTCACAGCAACATTGCTTTCTTTTCCTAATTCTTCAAGTACTGTTGCCAGATATTCTGCATGTTTTGCAGTCTCCTTCAGTTCTGAAACCTCTGTTCGTAATTCCAGGATTGTTTCATCTTTCACCCTGATTTCATCTGCAAGCTGTGAAAAAAGAGAATATCATCACTAGGAAATCCTTGGAAAAAAAATTGAATTTTTCTCATTTAATTTGTGATATATCAGAAATAGACACTAATCACACCGTATCCTCTGCTCTATATTCTTTAAACCAGGGATGTGCAACCTGTGGCTCGCGGGAAAAAACGGCACACAAGGGAAAATTGTGAGGTACATGGACAAGTGCCAATTTTGAATGGTTTGCTGCGCGCGAAAAGAGTTTTTAATTTAGTTCAATCAGGTACATGCAAATATTTCCAATCCCTTAGCGTTGCAAATCTTTTACTTGATGCTTTTACCAGATAACCTTACAAGGCCCTAACAGCTAGCTTGAAAACTTTTGTGTCTGCAACTGTTAGAAAGTGTATGTTGAATGGAGGTACGGACCGCGGTTTCGCCCAGTTATTTGCATCTGGCCTGCCTGTATTAAAGGTTGCCCACCTCTGCTTTAAACTAATACACATTTACTATGGTTACATATAATTTGTGAAATCTATATTTATAAAGAAAATATTTTTTTTTCAGTATATATATACAGAATAGAGAATCATTGTTTTTCATTGTTTATGCCTATATTCAGCCACAACGACATATCACCAATATACATATCTGCTGAATCTTCTGACACAGTAGTACTGAGTTTACAAGTACATGAATGACCATACAGAAATCAAAGTTAGCTTTCCCCTTATTCACTATTTTAATTATGTATAACTAATACCAAGCCTGACATGGGACTGGTAACCGGAAGAGATGCCATGGTTCGCCATATTATGCTCCTTTAGTATGCAAACCAGGATGGCGGACACCGGAACGTAGTATGTGTACCAAGTTACAGCATAATTTTATTCCAATTTTTTTCGTTTTAGTTCTATTACGAGTTCGGGAACTAGCCAAGTTGACTCCTGTAGTACTTGTACCTGAAATTATGGCCTAACTATAACGTGGTACACATACTACTTTTCAGTGTCCGCCATCTTGATTCGCATACTACCATTAATGTCAAACCTCTTTATTTTCTTTCAAAGCAGATTCCAGTCCTTTCCTTCTTTCTTCAGCTAATAATTCCCAATATTTTTCAGGAGCTTCTTCTGAACACATCATACTGAATGCATCATCTTCATTGTTAGATGTTTTCTTAAATAATGAAAAATATAAAAACTTGAAATAGCTTTCAAAATATTTCAAGCCTAATTAGAATTATTCTAAAACAGTTATTAGACATGCATTCACATGAATAAATTAAACAAAAACCTAAACTTGGAAGATTTATGCTATTTGACATTTTCTATTCGTTGGGTCTAGGGAAGTAGTTCTCAAACGGGGAAGCGTAGACAACTTTTTGAGAAATGTGAAGCAAATTAAAAATATTTGTTCGATTTGATCTTGCCCGCCTTATTTTGGATATTTAAGTTCCATTCAGTATTTCCAATGTGTTTTCTGAATAAAACATACTTTCGCCTTACTTTGTGTTATTTGTAGCTTATTGTTAGCTAGTTATTTTTGAGGTGGGATACGAGATTTGACAAATTCTAAAAATGGGGCGCGGCTTAAAAAGTTTGAAAACCACTGGGGTAGGGCAGGGCTACTCAACTGGCGGACCGCGGTCCGAATCCGGACCTTTCGAGTATTGGATTCGGACCGCACCTAATTATTTATTTTGGATCATTAGCCCCACTGTTTGAATTTCCTATTATAAAATGACTTTCATAGCTTTGAATGTATACGAAAAGAACTATACCGCCATAATAAACAATTTTAATTTGCTACTAATCATTAGTCGGTCGAGGAAGTGCTCGTTTAAGGATGCCGAAATATCATTTCTGGTAAGACTGGACCCAAATAATTTTGAAGTTTTGTTTGCGGACCTTCGATAAAAATAGTTGAGTAGCCCTGGTCTAGGCCATCGGTTCTTGAACCTGTATTCTCAGAATTTAACAATGCTTCCAAGATAATCAATTCAAAATAATTTCTAAAGATCATTTTTAATTATTATAATTCATCCAGGACTTATGTTGATGCAGCGCTGCTGTTTTACCCATGCTTCGTTAGAACAATAGATTTTACCTTTTTGGTATTCTTATTATTTTCATCGAAAATGGTCATCACATTTTTAGATTTTTCTTTTAAACCTTCTTTATAATAGGTTTTTATAGATGTTTGTCTAAAAATAAAAATCATATTAACCGTATGGCCGGTATATACCGTTTTTTAAAAATAAGAATGGATTTGGGCAAAGTTTTTTAACTGAGGGAAGTCGAAAATGAATAGAACAAATTAAACAATATTTGGTATTGAAATTATTGAATCTAAAACCTCCATATGAATCTGCAAAAAACTGAAAACCAATTTATCCACTGTTTAGCTAACTCACTTTTTTTGCACAACAAAATTTATATTTATTGAATATACACAGATTTCTACATGTTCCTTGTTAAACTTGACACCCCATATGAGAATATTTACTTAGAACAGGGGTCTCCAACTCAAAACATGTGGCGGGCCACTTTTTGAAAATTATTGACCACACGGGCCGCAAACCAAGAAATTAGGTACAGAAATGGGTATCTGAATGTATTGTGTTGAAATTACACTTGAATCTTACAGCAAACGAGACATGAAACATATTCATTCACTTGTGCTGGTTATTTGGTCTCGATGTTTGGCCTTATTTTGCGTTGGTTTGCTAGTCTCAAGAAAACATGCAAATGCTCGTCCATTAGTCGGAGGGCTGACTTGCTAACTTTCATAGTCTAAAAAAACTGCTCGCAAATATAAGAACTGCCAAAAATCGCAGGTATGCAAAGTGAAAGAGCGATTAGCTTTGCAAACCTTTCTTCGGGCACAATGGACTGACCGAAACTCTTTTATTTCGTCACAATGAACATGCGAAATGAAATTATCGCATTTATAATTGCAATATAACAATATAATAAAACATGAACGTGGACAACAGGGGGGAATTTTGCTTCACTTTTTACAGTTTGTCGGACCGGACTCTTGATGATAAATGACACGATAAAACCTACTAAAAGTTGACATTGTACTAATTTAGTTTTTTTGTGGAAAAATCCCAACCATGACGCGGGCCGCAAAAAATTGGATGGCGGGCCGCGTGTTGGAGACCCCTGACTTAGAATATGTTTAGTATAATGGAAAAACATAAAATTCAAAACCTCTATTAAGATTGTTGCATGAGACTCGTTATTTATCTAAGAGTTGTCTAAGTAGTGACAAAATACCTAGATGAAAATGACATTTAGCATTTGGTTCATTGAATTCTGGGATCTGTTTGTTTTAGTATCATCCAGGATCCCCAAGAGACTGAAAACCAATTCTTGGTAGATATCATTGACTGCTTGAACAGGGTCGTAGCGAACAGCATAAATGAGCGTTCTAAAATAATGGTACTAAATCATACTTTTTTATTGCTCCCTTATTGGTTGACTTTGATGAAAATAAAGATTTTGTTTTTGGCAGCATGAAGGAATCAACGGTTCGTCGTTTTGATGCATTCTCTGGGTTAGTAGATGAAAACGCTTCTTCTGAAGATCTCTAAATAGTTAGAAATTTTTGGTTATATAACTGAAAAAGGGAATAAAAATAGGGTATAGCTAAGTAAACGACGAAATGATTAAATAATGCCAAACAAAAAGGTGAAATTAAAAATAAAGCCTATATTTTTAATAGGTTTTTTGAATAAAAGTTTGTCTGGCGCGGAACAATATATTTTGCTCGGCATGAGACATATTGCACCTGATTAGTTCAATATATATGTTCATTTTAACTGAAAGTGTCTGTCAAGAATTTTATTCAGAGAAAACAAAAAAATTTCATATCACAATTTTATTTGGCGCTATTTCATTATTATAGGTAGTTATATTGTATACTTCGCTAGACCCTAAAAATATATGAAAAAATATATATATAATAGAATATCAAACAGTACCCTGGTAATAATATAGCAGAAATGACAATATCATGATGTTAGGGTTTCTACTGGCAACCGGTAGGGTATATATTATTCTGTATTCAATGATCATAAGATAGATAATATAAGTTAAGTTGATTTCGACTACATAATCAGCATAAAAGGCGATAAAACGATTGATGAAAACAAATAAATAAAAACGAATTATAAAATCAGGAGAGCAAACAAAACCTTGAATAAGGTTTGAAACGTACAGAATATAGGATGGAAGGTTTTGTCAAAAAGAAGTGGTATGAATTAGTACCAGTGTCAACCAACTCCGTAACAGTCTGACAGTACGGCACACTATCCAAATTCCAAGAATGTTCCGTCATTTGGTTCAAAAAATCAAACACTCCATGTGTCTCACAAACGAGGGATGCCTGGCACAACGGCAGATGCGTCATGCTTGTCTCGATAATAATCTAAATTTATCCCGGCTGACACATGACCAAAATTGCTGTTTTTTGCTAGAAACTCTCAAATGCCAGAATGCCACAGTGAAAATTTTTTCCTTCCAATATTTTTACCAATATTGAGAGACAACAATTTCCAGACGTCCTCGAAAGGAGGGGCATTTGTTCAACGGCCAAACAGAATTCTCTAAAACGAGACAATGTCTTTCGATCTGTACAGTGTGCCGTACTCACACAGTACCGGTACCGCAGTGGTATTGGACTGCAGTCTGTGCCATACCTGCATACGGTACCGGTACTGCTATACACGTACGTGCTCATGCGCTAGCACTGTAAATTTAGATCAAACTAGTCTACAACTAACTTAACTTACAGAACCCACCTTTCTCCGAGGTGACATGTTTTCTTTGGAACTCAAATTGGCGAGAATTCTTGAATGTGACGACATCATTTTGAGGCTTCAACTTCACAATAAATAAAACGTTTGTAAATAAAAATGCGACTGATAATATTTGGAAACTATTACGTAAAAGGCAGCCAACAATAAACGCGCAGGCCACTGAAATGAAAATCTAAAAAGAAAGGGCATATAACAAATTGAAAAGTCCGGGAAAAAAGGTTGCTACAGCGAATATTTTTCTTATGGTTGAATGATTTTTATCTTTGAAGATAGGATTTGGATATTTATCCCGGGGGAGAGAAAAACCAATAAGACGGCTAACCGTATGGTGAATCACGGCTCTCGTCCGGTTACCAGTGCAGGTCGGGTATGAGATTAGTTAGTAATTTGTTTTCGGAAGCATGGACTTGATGGTGGAGGACCAGCAATTACGTGAACCACCTTACGGAATCCGAGAGTATCTACTACATTAATAGTTGATTCAAAAATCGTTCAGAGTGGAGAGCGATAGCTTATTGCCCTTAACCTACGTTCGCTATTATTTTCAATGACCAGGCCGTTTTATCTTTTCCTCTTTATTATGTACATTATATAGATGTAATAGTTTGTTTGTATTCCTCGTTAGACCTTATCAATTTTTCGTAAGTGTCTCCTAAATTGCATTTGCTGTAAATATTTTCGATTTACTGTTTGCCTTATATTGCTTTTAGTTGCATATTCCGCCAAACTTACCTTCCTATATTTTTCTGTGCTTTTATCTTGCTTTCCTCGCGTTTTTATTAGTTGTTAGTAATTATTCCGTGAAAGTTACATTTTCTGTTTTACTGTGTCGTAATCGCATACATTTCGAATGTCGCTGTAATTGTATCAGTTGTGACTTATTCCTAGGATTTATTCATTTTATCCCTCATTTAATTATATTTATTCTAACCTGTAGCGCTGTAGGTGTCGCTGCTTGAAGACCTTCTTAGGTCCCTCGCGACTCCGGTCACGCAAAAACATGATTAGTACTGTAATTTATTCATTATGTCACTTTATGTTTGAACGTGTTTTTTTTGTGATGACAAAATAAACGATTGATTGATTGATTGATTACGGCGGCGAGGAGTCCAGTAATCCACACCGCTGCGCCAAGAAGATCAGATAGACGAATTATATTTTTGATTCATTTGCAAAAAATAAAACAATAAACAAAAAAGAGAAAGGCGAAGAACCTTGAAAGTGAACAAAACCTAAAAAATAAGTTTATAACGTAATAAACGCGTTCACGTTCAAGGTTAAAGGTCTTTTTCTATTTTTTTCCTTGGTATTAAAAATTGCTTTTCTTATTAACTACTGGATCAATTGATTTGAAACTTTCAGTGGTGAAAGATTGAATTTTTCGTTCGAAGGTTATTACTTTTATCTATTTAAAAACTATGTGTCCTCTTTGTGATACACTTCAAAATTGTGTGTGGCGATCTCTTCGTAATTTATAGAAATTGCTGTACTTTGATCGAAGCAATGGCTGCAATGTATTCTTTTACTGTCGTTTTGTTCTTTATTATTAAACTTAGCGCAAAAATATCCTAACAGAAACGCGATTAAAGCAAAACTCTCAAATTGTCAAATAACTTTACATCTGACAATTTCTCAATCTACAGCAGATTAGCTTATGGATTACCGATATCAAAACTAATAAACTATCATCAGCATCACATTAAATCGGTTTTAACCTCTTTTATATATGTAGAACGCGTTGAGGTATTGAAGCAATTATATCCTGTTTACAGATGTCGCTGTTGGGCCATCTAATACGCCATAATCATTGTTGTATCTCACGGTTTATTCCGAATTTCATGATGTTCTTACTTTGTATGACTGACTTTAATTAGGTAAATGTCTAATATCTTATGATTATTATGGCATCCTGTATTTTTTTTTGAAACTTTGTTGTTCTTTTTTGTATGACTGAGTCTAATTAAATATAAGTATATTTTGATTTTCTCACAAAAAAATCGTACACAAAACACAAACAATGAACACACAGAAGATTGGGAAAATCGGGGAAACTGGCAAAACCTATAAAGTTTTACATGGAAATATACATGCGCCAGTTTACCCACATTCAACACACAAACATATATATATTCAAAATAAAAAATACACGAACGGGTATCGTTCGGGCGTCAAACACAAATACTCGTGGGTCCCAATTATTAAATACACTTTGATAGGATGGAATGCATGGCTATGGTATGTGTATCAAAACAGTGCTTTTGCTACAAAAGTATGGAAGAAAAACACTCGTTGAAGTAAAATGGTGATGCCTTAGTTCAATTTCATTGCAAAAATAACACAGTGACAAAAAATTTTGTTACTAAAAAAACTTTTTTGTCACTGTTTTAAAAAAAATTGAACTACATTAAGTGAATGTTTAGGTAATGTTCCAAAGTCATTGTGGCATCTGCAGTTTATTTGGTATTCTTTTTGTTGTCCTTTTTTATATGATTGTGTCAAGTTGAGTAAATGTTTAATATTGAGTTGTTCGGTTGCTAGGCCTATATCTGCTGCTTCAATGCAGCTACAAGGTGTCGTTGACTGGATGACTCTTTAAGTCTTTCGCGATCCCTCGTCTATTGCAACATGCCGATATTCGTTTTTGTACTCTGTTATATATGTACTTTTGATTTATATCATATCGTTTATTGGTTTTGCATGACGAAAATAAATATATGAATCTGAATCTGCAATAGGCTATTATTATTCGTCTCAGGGTTTACACGTGACATTCTATCGATTTACAATAGGTTCAAAGACTCCAGAGAACAACAAAAATATTACACAGAAGCTGAATTTATTTCGATTCAATATGGCAAGTTTGTATTTATAACACTGAATTTTTCAAACTCAATTTGAATCAATTATTTAAATCTTCGAATTTAATATATTTATATTGTGCATAATTCTACACAGTTTAGTCAGCAAGAGAAAACAATCTGACGAATAAAATTTGTGAAAATTAGCGTTTAATGAATTTTTGACCAGACAAGGCCATGACAAGTCATTATTTAAATACAAATTGTATAAATTTTAAATTAAAAACCGATTATTTACATTTTACTGATTATAGATCCAGAAAAGAAAATACAAACAAGAAGATGCTTCTTTAAATCGGGATCTCACAGATAACTCCATCAAGCTTCCAGTCAGGTTCACCATTTCTCATCCCTTGATATTGATCATTTGCTTTGGCATTAACACCCAGAAAAACATTTGTGTATTCAATTGTTGGAAAACCTGGATGCCATTTTTGAAAGGAATTTGCAGGTGTGACGCGTAGAGTCTGAGAAAAAAGAGATTTGTTGAAGAATATTAGTGTAAGCTCAAGCCTGACCATTGACATGGCCACCAAGTAAAACACCATGCCCATGCTACTGACCTACTGGGAGTTGTTTGTAAAACAATGACCATAAAGTCCCTTTACAATTTCAATTTTGGTATGAAGTCAGTTCTCAATATATCTTAACCAGGTTTGTTGTTTTTTAATCAGTAATTGTTTAAGTGTTTTTACTTCATTTACTACATCTGTGAGGGCCAGAGACTTTATGGATACCCTATAAATTAAACATTCTGTTGCTCTAAAATTTAAGTAGTCACAAGTGAATTAGATATGTGAATGGTATTGAAATGACTTCCAACGTACTCGAATTCAAAAAAGGGTATAAACGTTTGTTATCACTTTGTACAAAATATGGGAAATAATTTCTACAGTTTCTTCTTGTGTATAATGTGCAAAAAAACGTAAATTACAAAAATAAAAAATAAATTACGAACTAACTACTTCGTAGCTCAGAATGAAAACGATATGAAACATCAAGGCAGTGTGAAATAAAACGGAGGTGACTTTGTAAGAAATCCACTGGCTGTTTGGAAATTGGAAGTTGATGCAGATAGGCCACTGCATCTAAGACCACGTAAGACCTAAAACTAAAAATATCGATACTCCCGCTAGTGTGTGTACTGTGTACCGGTTTAGGATTAGACCATAAATTTTCTTTATATTAGTTCTATTATGAGTTTGGGGACTGTCTATGTTGAGTATCCCCCTACCCATAGACTTCTGTCCCTTTACACAACTGGATGTAAAATAGGCGAACAAAATTAGTTCCCTCAATTTTGGTACACACACTTCTGGAGCGCCAAAATATCCTAGTCATATAAAAAGAGAAGCCTTTGGATTACTACCTTTGGATTGACAAAAAGTCTTATCCATATATAAATCTCACGGCTTCCAGCTGGAACTTTCTTTCTAAAGAAATTCACAATTGCATTGTACGATTCTTCATCTTTAGGCAAACCCACGTTTGCATTACGATACTTGCAAATATCCACCGCTTCTCTGTAGGTGATTTCCAATTTATCTTGCATCCAAGCGAAATAACACATATTTCCAAACTTCACAGTGCAGTATCCTGAAAATTAACAATTGCAGATTTGAAAATGAAATTTTGGCAATGGTAGTAATTCCAATAAATGGTTAAAATCTTTGAATGTGCAAAAGACTGTGAGACTCAGAAACTGTAAAAACAACCAAAAATCTTGCAAACACGTGGGAAAACACTGAAAATCATCAAAAAAAAAACTAATGACAACCGCTAAAAAAACACCAAAAAAAAAAACAACCTACCAAAGACCTTGCGATAACGTACAAAAACACTAAAAAAAGCGTGAAATACAAGATAACGCCTAAAAAAACGCTGAAATATTTTGAAATCAAACAAGCCGACTTAAACTTACTTAAGCAATTACTGATTAAAAAACAACAAACCTGGTTGAAATATATTTAGAACGGACTTCATACAAAAATTCAACTTGTAAAGGGACGTTATGGACACCCTGTAGTATATTGAATGCCTATATATTTCATGTGTCATCTTCATAATAATTTTAATGTCATTAATCGTATTAATGTCGGTAACATAGAAATGAAAGATGAATGGAAATTTAGGAAAAAAATTACCTGGGGAAGGAGTTGGTCTCAATGTTGTTGGATACGTTGTCGCTGCCCTGGTGATCGGCCTTGTTGTAGGTCCAAGACGCTGGAACCTCTCCATTGCAGCATATTTTTGTTCAATTCGTGATATTGCTGAATATAATATTATTCGAATGATTTATTAGATACAACTCTATAACCACAACATAGTACAATGAATGGACTCTTCTAGAGCAGTTTAAAAGCCGCGCCTTTTTTTAGAATTTGTCAAGTCTCGCGTCCCGACGCAATAATAACTAGCTATCAATAAACTACAAATAACAGAAAGTAAGGCGAAGTATGTTTTATTCAAAAAAACAAAAACAAAAAAAAACGGGCGGTCAAGATTAAATCTAACAACTATTTTCTATTTAATTATTCTTTTTAATTGCTTCACGCCCCTTCAAAAAATTGTCTACGCCCCCATTGTGGGGCTCGCCTCGCTGTTTGGAAACCACTGTTCTAGAGCATTTCAATTTCTACAAAGATAGTAGAAAATATTATTTATGCGATGCTGTAAATTTAAATTGTCTTGCTTCGGGTGCAGAAAACTATCGATTGATTTTACCTTCGTTCATCTCATTGTTTGTTTTCATTTGTTCATCCATTTCTTTTTCCAATTGCTTATTTTTTTCTTGTATTTCAACCAAATCTAAAAATATGAATAGCATTCAGTAGTAGCTTGGAATGAAAATATTAATATCGATAGTCATTTTTCGCATTGTACTTTAATAATGTTGTTACTGGAATACCTCAAACAAAGCATATAATTACATAGGCGTGGCCAGGGGTGTCGAGTCGAAGGGGCTGAACCATGCCTTCCTCTCCCGCAACAAAATTTTCAACAATTTTCAATGCAACTTGCGGCACTTGTATTGATACATAAATTCTTACGCCTTTTCAAACCTTATTTTTCTATATTCCTAAACAATATACTGACTTTCTTTGACTTGCTAGCAATAATCCTTTTACCAAATTAACCAACTGAAATAGATAAAAATGCGCGCTTGTATACCCTGGATAACTTCGAGAGCGAAGAAAGTCTGGGAAGAGATATTGTTTAAATGTCAGTGGCTGATTTTATCCAGCTTCGTTCGAAAAAATAGCAGCAGCTAAAATAATTTGGTCTATTTTACCTATCTTTGTCTGAAAATTTATTTCCTTTTGTCCGTTCAATTCTGCTGCCAACACTTTATTCATTTCTTGAACTCCGACCAAATCTAACAAAACAAATATTCAGAATGCTGAAAGAAATGCTTAAAAAACAATTCTGGCAAACTGAAATTGCAGTTTTCATCTATATAACGTTGCTTCCATAGTTTTTGTTGTATATATAGGGTGTCCATAAAGTCTTAAAATTTCTTAAAATGGCAAAGGGAGTTTATCGATATGCTATATTGTTTTGGCCCTCACAGATGTATTAAATGAAGTAGAAATACTTGAACAATTACTGATTTAAAAACAACAAACTGGTTAAGATATATTTAAAACTGGTTTCATGACAAAATTGAAATTGTAAAGGGACATTACGGGCGCACTGTATATATTCATAATGTAATTTGGCAATTAAAATTAGGGAAAACAAAAACGAGAAAAATAAAATTGAACGTAGAACGTTCGGGATAATTTCAATATAAAAAGTTTCAACCCCTTAAATGACGTCGGGTTATTGTTGGCGGTGAACACCATTAAAGGTAATAATTTTATTTTCTATATTTTAATATGTTTCAAGTTTTCACAAGATACACCATTATCGTAATATGTCGACCAACCTTTCTTCAGTTTTTTCATTTCTTCAGACTGCTCTATCGCTTTTGTTTGAAGATTGCTAATTTCCTTTGCTTGTTCTTCAATTTTGTTGTTAGAGTTGCGACTTTCTGGTGAAAAATTCAAGTACTTTGGTTTTTTAGATGAAATAACTCAAAATCGGGATCGGGAGATTTCCGGTCAGTTTTTCTGTCAATAAACTCCAGTATATTTAAAAAATGTACACAAAGCATGTTTACGAAGAAATTTATTATCAAGAAAATCTTGACTATATAAAAAGTCTGATTCTAACCGTCCTTTCCAAAACCGTCAATGTTTTTCATTTTATCATTGATGTTTTCTTCCAGTTCTTTTAAGTCTGATTTGATACTTCCGATATCTGAGAATGTATATAATGATTGAAGAGAGCTGTGGCTAAGTCAATTCTTCTCTAGCTTTCACAAATGTTGGGCAACTCAAATCAACTGGGTAAAAAAAGGCTGAAGCCAAGGACCTCAAAGTCTTTAGTAAATATTTTAACATTTTGAGACTTTTTGAGGTCAGAATTTAATCAGCTTAGAATTATACAAAATTGAAATTAGTTATTTATATTATCAGCTTAATCCTTTTTTCACAAATATTCTTAGTTTAAAATATTTAAAATCAAATTCGTTTAAACTAGGCAAAATTAAAACAAAATTGCCATCAACTCAATCAATGCCATTATGGAATTATTTATCAAGACTGTGTGCAGAGTCTGAATTTTCTGAATTGGAATATTTCGTTTTCAAGTGATTAGAATTATTGAGGTAAACAGATACTTGCCTAAAATATTTCTCGATACTAAAGGAAAGAGATTGACAGTATTCTGAGTTGATACCGTATTCTTAGATTTGCATGTAATCGGAAACTCTTTGTCATGCAGATGTTCATCAATGTTGAAACCTGGACTGTCCCACCCTACAGCAACCGGATCACATTGTGCGATCTTACAACCAGGCTTGGGTGAGCAGTGAAAAACTGTTTCATCTTGACACCAGGATGAAGTGATGACGTAGATCAAGATAAAAAGGATCGTTGTTTCCATCTCGAGGTTTCAGCGTAGTTAAGTAGTAACTGAATCAAAAAAAGTTTGTTCCAATTTATGCTATATACAAAATGCACAAATTTAAATAATTTGCAAATTTTTTTTTTCAAACTAATAATGGTATTGATTTTTGAAGAAAATTCCAATTTGAATTTGAGTTTATTGATTATGTTGATTTAAAATAAAATCCTGAAAATTCAAAATGGCCTGCAATAAATACGAAGCTAAATTTATATTTATTAAATTTCTAAGATCACTAAATAACTTAACGCCTAAGAACTTCTTATTATAAGGCTGATCAGCTCATATGCAATGACTTCTGTCTATATTATCTAGCGCTATTTTCTATCAACCAGAAATCTACATACAACAAACTATACTGTTATAATTCCATCGCGTCGCTTTTACGCCTAAAAATTTACCGCAGTCGAATATTTATTTATAGAAGCGTACGCGTAGTCGCGGCGTTTATCTTTATCTGATTATTGGTTTTGCCCGACAGTAAGACGTTAATTACAGGATCAGTGACATGGCAGATTTAATGTTTGTTTTTGCAATTTTATAGTTTAAAAAGTTGCAATTAGTTTTAGAATACAAACTTGATATCTAATATAGGTAACCTATGGTAGTAATTCTCAAAATTTTTAAGCCCACCCTCTTTTTAGAATTTGTCAAGCCTCGCGGTCTCCTCAAAATAACTAACAGTAAGATACAAACAACAAATAGTTAAAGCGAAAGTATGTTTGTTCAAAAACGCGTTGAAAATACGTGGACAAAACGTAAATATCCAAAAAAAGACGGGCAAAATCAAATCTAACCAATTATTATCATTTTTAATTGCTTCACGCCCCTTCAAAAATTGTCTACGCCCCTATTGTGTTGCGCGACCCACTGGCAATTTTATATTTGATATTGAAATGTTGCTTGATAGTAATTTTAAACGTTGAAAGTAACACAGCAAAAAAGCTTGGCAGCATTTGTTTTGCATAGAGCCACGCCACTATTCTAAGAACTCGTTGATGACAAACCAGCGCAGATTTCTTCTTTTGAAGTGAGAAAATAATGTTTTATGTAAAAGTTGTTTTATAGAGTTAGTACCTGATTAGTGAGTTAGTGAAATTAAACAACATTTATTATTTCTGATTTGGGTCGCTTGAAAAAAGGTTGCGCGCCCACCGTTTGAAAAACACTGCATTAGATTCAAGCTTACGGCGAGTTCATCATTGCTGTGACGGCATGCTATCTTTGCGACTTGTGTGAATAACGATGGCTAAGTGTACATCAATTTTTGTCGCTCCAGAAGTATGTGTACCAATATGGCAATATTAATTTTGTTTGACTACTTTACATCAAGTTGTGTAAAGGGACTAAAATCTATGGGCAGGGGTATATTCATTTGGCTAACACAGACAGTCCCAAACTCGTAATAGAACTAAAATAAAAAAAAATCCGAACAAAATTATGGTCTAACCCTAACCTGGTACACGTACTACGACAGTACCCAACCTTCTAATACGAGGTCGTTTCGTTAACAATATTATCAATATTCGTTAACAAACGTTATAAACTAACGTTTACAATAAATATGTGTGTCACCCACAGTGTTTTGTCATATGTGGCCATGAAAGTTGTATCGCACGGTCATACGACGTTCGTACGGCGAAACACATGTCGGATAGTCCAACAAAGAGAATAATTGGTGAAACCATGAACCCATTGTGTGCAGAGGCAAACTTGAAATTAAATATATGTTGTTTTCCAAAGTTTCTGAACAAACCACGAAATAAGAAAAATAATACAAAGAAGCTGAATTTATTTCAAGTCATTGAAACTCTATAATAACGCAAATGTAGCACACAGATCTCTGAATTTCACATAAAATAATACTTTAAGAAATCAAAGCAATTAGATCAGTTATACAAAACAACATCACAAATAATTTTAATGGGTATACACCGTGTTTCCCCGAACACAAGACAGAGTCTTATTTCAATTTTCTTCCTAAAAACAACACTTGGGCTTATTTTGAGGGGATGTCTTTTATTCTCATTTATCGAAAACAAAATTACAAAGTAGAGAATTAGGAGATTTCGAAAATATACAAAATATGAAAATCGATATCCATTTACTTATAAATAACACGTTTTTATTTAAAATGAGTGCTAAACACAAATAATCAATAATTTGAAACGCATAGAAGAGATTCCTTGCCATCGACCAGGTCAAAAAAATGTTGCACTGTCAACTGAGTCTTATTTTAAGAGGATGGCTTATGATGAAATCCTTTTAAAATTCAGGCTGGATCTTATTTTCAGGGAAAAACGGTAGATATAAAGTGGTGTCAGAATTTTTGGTATTTTTAATCAATTTCTAAGAGAGTTTTTGACATCGGATAATTTATCCATTATTGCTCTTTTATTTATTTAAAGTTAGAAGTCAATGATTTATATTGTACTTCAGAACAGCTTGAGAGAGACTAAATGAAACAGTGAGACGTTAGGTCTGGCTCTCACAAAGAACTCCATTATTCTCCCAGTCAGGCTGAACATTCCACATCCCTTGGTAAACATCATTCGGGTTGGATTGAACACTAAGATGAACATTTGTCCGTTCTTTATATTTATTTCCTGTAGATGGTAAATCTGGATACCATTTAATGAATGAATCCGCGGGTGTGACGTCACGGGTCTGAAAAAAGATTGAATATATGGCGTTCATCACGAGATCATGTATGAAAATCGATATAGAGAGTAAACCGTTCATTTTTCATTTTAATTCTAAATAATATTTGAGGCCTCATGCCTGGTAAATCGCATGGCAACTTTTATGCAGTCTTTCATTCGTTAGCAATTAAACTACAACTACCCATGCGGCTAGACCAGGGGAGAGCAAATTTTTTACAGCGAGGGCCAAAAATTTGGCCCACCTAGATTGGCGGGCCATGTGAGTGTGATGTAAATTTTATATTTAATGAACAATATTTACAGTGTTACAAAAGCAAAAGTGAAAAACAATAGGCCTCGTGCTAGAACAAAGTTTATCAAATTCCTTGAGCTAATATTTGGCTGAAACACCAAAATTTGGTTTCACTTTGGCTGTGGCAGAATCAGGCGGGCCAAATTGAAGGACCCAACGGGTCAAATTTGGCCCGCGGGCCGTAGTTTGCCCCCTCCCCCCTGGGCTAGACCATTTGTTCGATACTATTACACTGTTCACTTACGATTTCTAAAATTTCTATTTAGTTAAGTGCTACTCTGGTATTATAATTCAAATTGACTTTTACAAAAGGACCTGCACCTTTTCTGGAGAATTCTGACACTTATTTATAACTGTTTATTATTCCAGTGTTATTTATAGTGTTATTTTATTGGTAAATTTAAAATACCATTGTGTTTAAACAATTCATGTTGAACAAAGTAAAAACAGTACACCTAAAGTAAATGTAACCAATTTAGGGTTAGGCCATAATTTCATTCCGATTTTTCCATTATTTTAGTTCTATTACCAGTCGGGGACTGTCTGTGTTAGCCAAGTGAATATACCCCCTTACCGCAGGCTCAGTCTCTCCACACAACTTGATGTAAAGTAGGCGAACAAAATTAGTTACCTCAATATTGATACGAATACTTCTGGAGCACCGTAAAAATACCCTTTGTCCACCCAGGACTTTTCTTGTTCGGTGGAAGGTTTGTTGTCAATTTTGTGTCTAGCATTGTGGCCCACCCCCAACTGTTCGGTGGCCCTCTTGAATGGCAATGCCCCTGGTTTGGAATCGCTGATTTACAAGACACTAACCATTGGATCAAAGTGCATTCCTGTCCATATCCGAATCCATGGATCTCCCTTTGGGATTTTCGTCTTCAAAAACTTCATAATCTCATTGTAAGATTCTTCATCTCGAATCCAACCAACATCTGCGTTACGTTTTTTACAGAGCTCTACTGCTTTGTAGTAATTGACACCATTTTTACCAGGGCTCACAGCAAAATAACAAACATTTCCAATTTTCAATTCGCAGTTATCTGGAGGATAATATATGCATATTTAGGAATCAATTAATTTAAGCAGTTTATTTCTTCAATAATCACCAGGCACTTTGTAGCAATATTTCAATATTTTCAAATCAAATTATCCGACTTAACTGTCGTGTTTGGACAAAGTCTAACATATGAAGCCTATGTTGTTCCTAGTTTCAGTAATGCAGATGACTATCTTAAAACATTTATCACTCACTAACATTACTCAAATCCATCGAATGCAGAAATTAAGGCCTAACCCTAACCTGGTACACATACTAAGGAAGTGCCGAAATACCTATAATCACTCTCTCGTGTCAATCATTTACAAATAGGATGATATTTAAATAGAAATTCACCTTGAGAACGAGTTGGTTTCAATGTTGTTTTGGTATTTATTGTTGGTCGGGTGATCTGTTTCGATCCGGGTTGGCGTTTTTGAGGCTTCTTTGTTACAGCGAGTTTTCGTTCAATCCGGGATATTGCTTAATGAAACAAAATCGTTAGATATCATTAACACATGAAAGCTAAACGCATTTCGATGTTTGTAAATATGGTAGATGATCCTCTTTCTTTCTAATTTTAGAAATATATTGTGAATGTATAATTTGTATAAACAAACGTATATATATGACAAGCAATTATAATTTTTAGGAAGGATAATGTCTGTTTGATGAGTTTTCTGAAATAAATCCATTCCTTCAATTTAAAGAAAATGACATGCTTATCTGAGCACTGTACATCATCATATTCGAAAAGCATGAAGTAACTTAGGAATGATTTGAGCGCGGCATTGATTCATCATTCATTTTTACTTATTTCGCAAACAATAAAATAGCATGTAACTCACGCTTCTCGTTTGCCACTTGCTCGAACTATCAGAATGTTTATACGCATTTATAAAACTGCCTTAAATCAAACTAAATAACGTAAAATACTACCCAACAGCCATTACCTTCTTTCATTTCGTCGTTGGTTTTCTTT